ATGTGTCAAACAATATATTATTAAAAATATATACATATATTATATTTCATTTTCAAATATTAATATGACAAAATAATTTATATAGATATTTAAATTATATTTTTAATAAAATATTATTTTTTATCGGTAAATATTATTTTTGTTAGGAAAATGATGAAATAAGTAAATTTTAAATATTAAATAATTTTCTTATAAACATTGCAGCCAAAATTTTATTTTAGTTTTATTTTTAAATTTAAATTATTAAGTATACAATTTATTTATAAATATGTATTATGTTAGTTTAAGTTAAATATCTTTTTCTTTTTTTCTTCTCCATATGTTTCTCAAAATTTAATAAATTAAATGATTATATTTTTATCTTCTCTCAAAATGGTCAAATGTTTCCTCCTCTTTTATTAAAAATATATTTTGTCTATAATTTTTCAATATCTTAAAAAATAATTTTAATAATTTAACCACATAAATTTTGTGAATGATCATTTTAAATAATTTTGAATTTTAATAAATACTAATAACTTTTACAATACAAGATAATTACAAAGATCTCATATGTGATCAATCTAGCTAACCTCTAATTATTCTCTATCTCATGGTAAGGTGAATTTAAATAATTTTTCATATTCTTCTTGGTAATAATTCATTATAAAAATCTTATTAGTAACTTCTTTTTTTATATAACAATAGAAACCTAAAAAAAAATAGTTAAAATCATATGAATCCTTGTCCAAAATCTATTAGAGCTTAGCAAAAAAAGGTAGACACCATGTGTATACCAAATTAAGTATCAAGTGTGCAATATGCTAAATAATATATAATATTATTTATATCTTGCAACATTTATACAACTTTAACATTCCAATTCTATTTATGTATTTATATGTAAGTAATAATTTATATATAACTTACTTTGATTATAATTGAAAGTAATAACCTATCAAGATTTTAATTTATCATATTAAAGTACCATTTTAATAATATAATTCTTAAAAAAATATGAGCTATATATGTCTACAAAAAGATTATGAATAACACAAAATTAAAAAATGATTTAATAATTAAACTTAACACATCTTCATTATTATTCTTTTTGTTTCATGATCTTATATATAATTTATTTCTAATTATGTATATAAAATAAAAAATTTAATTTCAAAAATATCTTTTTGAATGATTTTATTTAATTTTATTTTTTAAAAATAATTCATAAGAAATTTTTTAATAATTTAAATGATAATTTTATAAATTATTTCATGTAATTTTAAAATTATATTTAATTTTTTAAAAATACCTTTAGTAAAGACAAATGTTATCACAAAAATAATTATACAAATTATTTTTAATTTTTAAATTATTTTTTATAAGTTGCTAAATGTTCACTTTTGATAGCAACTATCAATAGTCACCATCAAAATAAAGTTTTGGTGTTGATTTTTGGGGGCAACATTTAATTATCATTGTTAAAAGTCATTATTAGAAGTATTTTTTTTAGTACAAGATAAGTTTACTTTTAAGATTGGTCTAGCAATATCATACGGAACAGGTATTTGATAATTTGCAGAGCTGATGTGATCGGTACTCCAAAAATAATATAAGTATAGGAGGAAAACATACAAAAGAAAGTTACTATGTGATGCGTGTTCTTGTATGGTCGGCCCATCATCATGTAATTCCTTCAAGAATCAATTTTGAATTCTACATCATTCAAGCATATAAAACTCCTTTTAATCTCATATTATAATGTATCTGAACATGAGAGTTATATATTTTGGATAGGGAGGTGCAGCGAAAGGTAAAAAATTTTAAATCTCGATCTTAATGTGGACGGAATGAACTCATTTACGTCAAGATTGATAGAAGAATTATGTTTTAACTTCGAGCTCCTCATGTGTTGTTTGCAAGTAATTGAATCTCAGGAGTTGACAATGTATATCTTCTCCCTCTACCGATATTTACACGAATAACTCTCTAACTCGAACAGTGTGCTAGTGCTCTCAACGTTCATTCATATTTGAATGTTGATTTTCTTTTCTTTAGAATGTTTCGTGGCTCTTAAAGTGTTTGCCTTTCAAAACTTTTCTAAGTCTAAAAAATTTTCACATAGCACATCCCTATTTTATATCATATATAGATTAGGGTTTTTTTCTTCCTTTAATGAGCTAATAAAATATTAGATTAAATTTATTTCATAAATAAAATATAATATATCATATCTAATTTAAATTTATCTTATAAATTTAAACTATAGAACTGATATAATATTCTCTCATATCATGTTAGTTATTAAATTTAATTTATCATATGAAATTATATTTGAAACTAACACAATATAATGTAATATAATATATATCGGATATATACATACATACATACATACATACATACATACATACATACATACATATATATTTATATTATATTATATCATATTATATTTTAAATTTTATATATCATATCTGCGCACGCACACATATACGAATATACATATATATTTTAAAATATATATAATTATATTTTATATTTTATATTTCATATAAATATATATAAATATTTATCAAATAAATATTCATATATACATATAAAATCCGTTCACCCTATATTACAGTCATTGAATCTATACATATTTCAGATTTAAAGAACTTGAACATTATAACTTGAGTTAGACTATTCTTGTATGTGACCCTATAGGCCCATATAGAGTTGGCAGTAGGCTAATTACGCTATTAGCCCACAAGTCACAAGTAGCCTATAGTAAAACATCATAATTACCTAATTCATATGAGGATTGATGATTTGATATAATCTATCATATAACTGTATCACATCTCTTTTGTCACACGATATTTCAATCAAGTGTGAGACATGTAATTGTCATTCTGCTTTACCTGACCATTACTTTCTCGATCTTTGAATAGACTAACTATAATAATGGAAAACCCTTTTTCATTGTAGTCTGGCCACACATTTTTTCAATTTTACTTATTGAGGGGCCTAGGAATATCTCTCAAGTAACATGGTGGACGAATTCCATCATGAGCACTCTTATTCCTCTACATGAATATTACTAAACTCAATCATAGCCTTTATGATTACTCGGTCAAAGGTTACTTTCAACTAGGTTAAAGTTTAGTGATCATCATATAAGAATTCATAATGATTTCAAGTCAAAGGGCTTAATGATCTTATTATATATGAGATAAGCTTATGACTTGTATTACGTAGCTTTCTCATAGCAGGTCAGTCTAACACCTTGTATTCTTTTAAATGTCTACAACTTTAATTTATATCTCTATAATTAATCAAATTCATATTAGTCTTGTTTTATCTATGATCCCTCATAGATGATTGACCAAGAATATTTAGGATAATTACTATAATTTGTTCAAGAATACAGTTATCATAGTGAACATGTAATTGATATGATAACAAAAGAGAAATTCATTAAATAACAATGTGCATGGTACAATGGTTGGCCCAAAGTATAATTTCCAACAATATATATAAACATATATATGTTTCCTTTGGAGCTAGAAGTCTACGGATTATAACCACCAGTTGACTTGCTAAAATATAGTCATAATAAAATTTTCCCTTTGGACGTAGAGCCAAGAAATTCACAATCAATTAGACAAAATGGATGGGGTTCATATATATATATATATATATATATGCACATAGGATCGGACCACGGAAAAGTAATGAAAAAGATCCCGTATATGGGATTGGAGGAAGTAATTATTAATGTATATCCAGATCGCTATATATGATAATAAGACTAAATACTCTGAGCATGCCATCACAATAAAGTGCCCAGTAACTGAATCATAAGCTTTGAAGACGAAAGGAGTGCACATCTATAACTGATATGCGAGCGTGTGTGTGTGTATTCAAGTTTACATGTGGTGCACTGTATATTACAAGTTGAAGCTCAAAATTATCACTCTATGATTGGTGCAATTCCACCGTTGGTAGGATATGGAAAATTATAATTATATTTGCTACTAAAAGCACATTAGAATTTTGTTACATAATCAAGCTGATGATCGACCAAAATATTAATCATATACAACGAGCAGTATATTATATATACTATATCATGTGCTGGGTTAGTGGAATAATCTGAAACGGACAGCACATTCAACAGTTTCTTTTTTCTTTCCCGGCTCACCATTAAGTTCTATAGCACTCCTTTTGTTTGTATTATTGTCATCTATATTTTATCCTCCAACTACCTTAATTCGTTCCAAACAATTTGGCTTTCTCATTGCTACTTAATTATCAGGCTCATTCACGCGATCTATAACAAATATCTGTCCCTAATTTCGACATAGCTAGATAATAATACAAGTGAAGAAACATCAAGAAGGAAAAAACTTGAGAGATATAGATGCATCAAACCCAAAGTGGCCTTAAAGGATATATAGAGCAGAAATCAAGAGAGGCCAAGTGTGAACGGCCTCAATTGCTTTATCTGAGAGAGAGCAAATATATATGAAGCAGCTCTTCCGTAAACATGACGAGAAATAAGATCAAATCAAATCAACAATTGGGCGACAGCAAAAGATCACTAACTATAGTGCGTCGGTGTCCGCCGTAGACGCATGTACTTGTAGTGAAGATGTACTGTTCTAGGCCACTAATAGAGGATGTACGTACGCACGTATGGAACAAATATTTTGGGAGTTAGAGGGGAAATGGACAAGATTAGCTGGAGGACTCATATATTAATTCAAAATCTTAAAACTTAAATTCATAAGTTATTCCTCTTTATTTTAGATTAATTATTAAAATTAGATTTATAATTTTTCACTTCAATTGAAGTCTACAAAAGATTATAAAATTTTTATTAGAAAAATATATACTTGAAGTCTCCACCTAATCAATTATTTACCTCCAGCCCAGTGCGAATGAGAACGTAGTTTTAATTTTCTGTATGTCCTGTGGGATCGTCACATTTTTCCGCACAGTGCACGCTTCCCCGTTCCCTATATATACCCACCACTTCTTTGCTAAGACCATGGTTGTGGGAATTCAACATTTTCCTATGGCAACTTCTAAGCTTATCAGTGTTGCTTTCTTTTTGTTATTGGGTTTAGGCATTTGTGTTGCTGCCAGATCACTCCTTCATCTCGAGGGAGGTCCACACTTCGGTGATGATGTTGCGCATCATGGCAGTCTGTTAGTCGGAGGTTATGGTGGTGGCGGTGGAGGTTCTGGTGGAGGTGGGGGATATGGAGGCGTTGAAGTGCACGGTGCAGGTGGCTATGGAGGAGGAGCTGGAGGAGGTGAAGGTGGTGGTGCAGGATATGGACCTGGAGGAGGAGGTGGCGGTAGTGGAGGAGGAGGTGGAGGAGGAGGAGGTGGCGGTGCTGGAGCTGGTGGATATGGAGGAGGTTCTGGTAAAGGAGGCGGTGAAGGCTATGGAGGAGGAGGAGCTCCAGGGGGAGGGTATGGAGGAGGCGGTGGCGGCGGCAGTGGTGGAGGAGGTGGCGGCGGTGCTGCCGGTGGTGCTGGTGGCGGTTATGGAGGCGGGGAAGGACGTGGAGCTGGTGGGGGATATGGAGGAGAACATGGAGGAGGATATGGAGGAGGGGGAGGAAGTGGAGGTGGCGGAGGAGGTGGTGAGGCTGGTGGAGCTCATGGAGGTGGGTATGGCAGTGGAGGAGGATCGGGTGGAGGATATGGCGGAGGAGCTGCTGGGGGCGGTGGAGGCGGATCTGGAGGAGGAGGCGGCGGCGGCTATGGTGGTGGAGGTGCTCATGGAGGCGGATATGGAGCAGGTGGCGGAAGTGGCGAAGGAAGTGGCCACGGTGGATATCATCCCTGAGGTTGGATTACAGCAGCTCCTCTTACTCACATAATAAGAAAAGTTACTTTGTACCGTGAAAATTTATAATAAGAAAAATTATGCGTATGAGGATGCTTATAAAGTAATGAGTGTTGTTGTGTATGCTTCGCTTTCGTGTAATATGTATGTCAAAAACAGGCTGCCCAAATATTAACTGATGGCTACGTGCATCACCAGTTTCAGTAATTGTACTCTGGAACAAAGACAAATGACAGAATAATGGAATTTCACTTCTGGGGATGCAGCGGACAAATGTTGAACATTGGCGTTAGAATAAATGGATAAGAGGGGATTGTTACATTTATATATATTTTGAGACAAAATCATGAGACGTCCGGCATATCAGGAAATTCTTTTTGGAGGGCGTATCGGAAATATTAATTAATGTGATCGAATTTAAAGTTGAAACCTACAGCCCAACTAATTAGTCAGTTTAATTTACGGTACATGCAAGAAGATCAGCAAAAGTTAACACTTCAGCCATCTCACTCTAATCCTTACACCAAAACTATTCTCATCCTTGATTAAATGACGCTAGGCACGTCACCCTCCAATTATAACAAGTAAGGCTACCCTCACTTAATCACAATTAACACTAAGATCAAGGCAATCATGGGCTAAGCCATTTACATTACTAAGTTTGTAATTTAGAAAAATGAAATCCCAAATTTTCACATAATTCACGATACTTAAATAACATTTAAGAAATCTTATATTAAGTAAAATTTTGTTTTGAAAACATGAGATACTTTTTGGAAGTTAAAAAGACTTGAAATCAATTTGCAAAAACAAGGGAACATATTGTGACATGTGTACATGCACCGCGACTGTTTGTCTTTGTGCCATGCTCTGCAGTGCAAGCATGTTGCACATATTAAACAACACTTTGTTGTCAAATGATAGTAACTCGGGTAACTTTTCATGTGCCCCATTTCTCCATTTGACATCTGAATGGAGTAATCTAGATGTCTACAGAAAGTTTTTTTTCCTAAACTAGCTAGTAGCACAGGTTTTACTTTCCATTTATGTCACACAAGGAAGATAGACAGCCAAATATATTTTCAAACCTTTTCACCATTTTCGCAACTCAAGGGTGTCCAAAGCCTCATATATGTGCCAAAAGCTATTCTTAACACTTAGAACACTCTTAATGAACTTAGGACTATTTATACAACGCACCATACGCATGTAATTTCAATCATACCAAACTTTAACTCTTCAACTCCTTTAATACCAAAACAACAGGGGGAGGTTTTATTATTGCATAAATCAATTTCATTTTCAATTCCAACAATATGACAATACTTTCTACACTTGCATCGGTATTTTGACCCTATCAATACTTAATAATCTCATAAACAATATTTCAGAGACTAAAATACATTCTAAAATTATAAACAACAACATGGTCTAAGTGTATTCAAATACTTCTTAATTAGCAATATACTAACATTACACAAAATAAATGAAGATAAGAGGCTTTATAGTAGGAATCTAGATTCATAAGCCTTTGGAGCCTTTACCCTTTCCACTCTAGAGCTAGAGCCTGTAAAATATTGAAAGAAAGAGGTGAGTACAACCATTCAGTAACTAAAGTATATATATCCTATACAGTTGCATATCGATTGACAAAAACACATGATTGAGAGTTGAATACTCAAAGATATGTGATTATACATAACACAAGTACTCTCATAATTAAACTTTTTTTTTCATATTTTACATTTCAAATCATAAGGTATATTGTTACAGTACAAACAAATACGTGACAATGACTCAATTTATAAACTTAATGCACATTGCCACAATACATATAACCATGTGATAATGGCATAATAACTATCACAACTTGTCACAAATTTATCAACCATGTGACACATTAAATACACATATGCATGATTACTGCCTCCTCATACCATCCTTATTTTTGCTAACTGAAATCTCGGGCTATATTATTTATCAGAGCTCCATTTGTATGATTAGATTATTCAAACTCACTAATTGTGAGAAGTGACTTAGCCAACAATCATTGTACTTATTTTCGAACCACAGCTTCCCCCGCTCCTAAATCTCTGGGGTGTCTTATACTCTAGGCTAGTCTCCTCGAAAAATAGGTAGAGATAGCTAAGTTCTAGTCCTTTGATAATTTATAGGATAGGCTCTCGACAAACAGTGAGATAAGGCTAGCCTTCATGCATCAAAAGGCTACCATAAATATCATATGAATTTATCTACTCTTCTTCCTAGGCAAACTTTTGCCAAATGATCATACAATGTAGTATGCTTACTCATTTCATAATTTGACAAATAAATGACTCATGGGTTTCAATCACAATCAAACCCATGTGAGCATCTATAATACTTTCATAATTATTGTTTTTTTCAAAACTCACATGCATAATCTACATGTCATGCATCGATCTGATCAACTTATAGTACACATTTTTTACACAATAAAATAATCACATCAACTCACCAACTTTTCATTCCAATACAAAATCACAATGTGAAAACTTTTTAAGTTCACTTTCATTATTATAGCCAAATTAGGTTTAATAAAGCCTCATAGGGTTTTTGGCATAATCACAACTACAATATTCAACTATTCAAATCAATTCATCCATTTTTAACAACATAAATCAATTAACATATAACTATACAAGATAGGTTTCCCTATCATCGTACACCTTTTACCCCTCAATAACTTGCTTTTGAGCTTGCTTTCCAAGTTGGATATAGTGTCTGGATGATTAATCTATAATTAATTAAGTTCAAACTCATCAATATTACTAAATATACACTTCTAACTCTCATTTTTTACTTTTAAAATACCCAAAGCCCTTATTTCTTACATTTAGGCTTACCAATTAAGTGTACTAACTGTATTTAGCTCCATTAGCTTCATTAATGGGTCATTAATGTCTCAACGATCTTTATAAATTTGAATTGAATGCCCATTTTTAGATATTAATGGTCCAAACTGTCATTAATGTCTAAACCCATAATTTCTTAGTTTAAATACTCAATAGAACTCTTGTTAACTCCATTTGAATTCATGGGTTCAAACTTATTATTTATATGGACCGAAATTAATCTCCCATTATCAAACCTTAACTAAAAACTTAAGAAAATTAGGTGGGAAGGAAGAATAAGAGGCTAAAAAACTTACCCTTAAGGTTTAGTAGCTTAGTAACACCTTTAATGTTTTGTAAATTGAAACCCTAGCAGAGCTTTCTTCATCCTCTTTGGTTTCTATTTCTTTTTCTCTATTTTTCAAATTTGATTCACGACTTCTTTTTACAGAACTGTGTGCCGTGGCGCTTGACATGTGGTACAAAGAAGCTTTCCTCGCTTTAGGGTGGCTCATGCACCGTGGCATACCATGTATACACCTCAGCATGTGATATAGAGCTATTTCTCTTTGTTTTTCCTCCCTTTTGACATTCTGGTGGCCCGCCTTTACTCTGGATTCAATTTTAAGGCTGAAGTCAAAACCTAAAATATCTATTAGCTTTTTGTAACCACACATCACAGTAATATACTTAATTAACCTCACTTAATTCAGCTAATTAAGGTTAAATTTTTTAGGATGTTACACCACCAAAAAAATGACACCCCAAAAAATGAACTCAATGAAAACAGAAGGGAAAATGTAGTTCTTCAAATGTTGAATTACATACAATTTTCTTATTCAAATTTAAAATTAAAAACTAGATTTATGTGCTTCCATAGTTTAAAAAAAAGTACGTTCATCTAGAGTGTTGGCGCCTCTTTTGGAAATAAATAATTTTTATAAGTTTATAGTGGGTTCGAATCCCACCATTGAAAGTAAATGAAAATTTTTCGTGCCATATATCATACAACAAGATTTAATATATATGTGTGTGTGTGTGTGTGTGTGTGTGTGTGTGTGTGTGTGTGTGTGTGTGTGTGTGTGTGTGTGTGTGTGTGTGACGTTTGATATTCAATTTGATATGATTAAAAATTAAATAATTTTTTGCCATCTAATATTAATTCAGATAGTTGGCGTGGTTTACAAGAGACTTTGAGTAATGCGCATGTGTAGGAGTATGATTCATCAGACAACCCTCCTAATGTTAAAAAAATAAATTGTTTTTATCCTCCTTTTGGTTTCTGCTTACGATCGAACTTGCAATTCAAGACTTAAAGGCCAAATAAGATGTTTCTTATTTTGAAGTTTAAGTGACTTGCTTGATTGTTACAAAATACTTAATTAATAATGATATGTTATAAATGATACAAATACAGTGAAGAATTTTCATATTTTTCCCTAAAATTAGGCCCAACTTGTTGGAATTGGAGGTATAGCGGAAAAATAAAAATTTTAAAATTTTCAATTTTAATTGCAGATCGGACAACATTGTTTAGCTAGAGTAGATAAAACTTTACCTTTACACTTGCAATTTTAAGGATCTTTTTGTTTGGATCTAAGGAACTAAATCTCCATGACTAGCTCCCTCTATACCATATCCAGACGAACAACTTTCCTATTCACATGGCGTGCTAGTACTTCAAACTTCTAATGTCCATTTGTCCATCATCGAGATTGAAAAAGTCATGATTTCTTTCTTTTCTCATACAACGTCTCTCTCTTTTCTCTTAGGGTAAAGGTAGCAGATCTCTCTACTTTTCAATTAGCATATATTGAAAAATCCTAGCCTCAATCTTATATAAATGTTGGTTATCTAATTTCTAAAGAAATATTTGAATTGAATAAGGATTAATTTTGAATAGTTGATTTCTTCATTAATCCTTATCAATTTTAAAAGTAAATTAAATAAGTTAGTTTAAATTTAGATCTATTCAATAGATTAATTTAAACTATTTTATTTAATCCATTTAAGAGCTAACCAAAAACAATTTAATTTATTTCAATGAACTAAATTTAAGATATCATATCTTATAAAAAATTTTTGACTTGACTTTATCTCATAAATTCAAATTTCAAAACTTTTATGAAATATTTCTATATCTTATTAGTTAGTAAATTTATCCTATCTTATAAAAATAAATTTAATGCTAGTATAATATATTATAATATTATAATATACACATATATGCATGCACATATTTCAAATATATGTACATATATATTATATAATATTAAATTTCAATTTATATATATATATATATATAAATATTTATCACATAAAGACATGCACACACAAATATAAAAATCTATTCACCCAAAATTAAAATGTTGTATTTATTGA